GCCGGAAGCTATGCGACAGAAAAACAGGAAATTATAAAAATACCCGCGTTTAACGCAGGACTCTCCAAGGGCGTAGAAATAACGATTACGTAGACATTCTTCGAAATCGATTGATACGCTATAATTGGCCCATCGGAGCGGCGTGCAATCAATGAACCGCATTACGTTAATGAAAACACGGTAGTTTCTGAATGGCCGGTGGAAAGTCAAAGAACACGGGGAAATATTTCGACGCGAACCCATTGCGCAACGTCGGCCCGCAACGCGACGTGAGAAACGATCGCCTGTGAAATAATCGTTACGGGACGCCTGATAATTACGCTGTAATCACAATTACCCGTAACGAGGAAGAATATCCCGTGTCGGACCGCTGCCGAGATATTCACTCCTGGAAAACGCGTCTCCGATAATTGGCCGGGTGACCATCTTGCATAAAACGTGCGGGCGGTATCCTGAAATTCTTTTAATTAACACTAGAACTACAGTGTAATTGGTTATTTATAATTCCTCGTGGAGACTGGAAGAGCACGTTTGCCGAGGTTCGACGCATTGCTTGTTATATTCGCAGAGATACGCGAGATCGTTTTACAATTTCCTGCGATCTCATCTGTGTCACTGCAATAATTGTAAAATAATAATTCTGAAAGGGGTCATTTTGTCTCGTTTGGTGATTTCGCTGTTAAACGGGGGGGTCTCCATCGACCGAGCCAATCAATTACATAAATTCGATTAAAACGTACGAATTAAAAAACCCGTGAAACGTAAACGCGCGCGTTATTCGCAGCTCGCGCTGCGAAATTAGCCGGCGGATGCGCGCGCGACTCGCCGTGAGATTAAACACTTTTAATTGGAGTATTTTCGCCGGGTCCCCGTTATCGTTCGCGCGAATTACCCCCGTGGAACGCTTCCGCGTCGCGTCGGTCCTCTCGGCGAGTCGTTTCGAACGTGACGTTCGGACGAGTACGCGCGACACTTCGCCTTTTTTTGTTGCTCATTCTTCTACGCGTTCCCGGCCCAATTTCCGCGGTATCTCGCGTTATAAAAGTAAAACGGCCGTGAGCCGCGCGCGTTTAACGAGATAGTTCCCCGGTTCGGATGAAAAATTACGCGGGGAAATGTACGACTCCGCGGCCAGCGCCTCGTAAACCGCGGCAACGCTCCGGCATGCCCGCCGAAGTAAATACAGTTGGACCCCGTATAACGGGAACGAAAAATTGCTGAAAAATAACTATAAAATAACTATGAAGTCTCCTCCATAAAGGTATAATGCCAGTGGACGCGTTGCAAAATAAAGAACACATCAATTTTCATGATAAAGGGGATATTCTACTAAAGGCTGCTGCAGGTGGAACTGAATTTTAAGCAATGTTCGATCAACTGGCAGTAATTAGCTTTCACCTGCTGCACGGTGAATTGAGGATTCTATTCTCTTTGTTCCATGTAACGCGAAATCTCTATATCTACGAAGTGTCTGTGTGGTCCTGTTTACGACAAAGTAGTGAGACTACCGGGTCTCGCAATTGTAATCCTCTGGTTGCTCGATCAAAGCGTCGCATTAATTTTTCTCGCGTCGGGGAACTTCCAACCAGTGGGAAACTTTCCGAGTAACCGGTCGATCGACGGGGAACTTGTTAAAACTTCAACTAACGGGGCTGTCCCGCGACGAACGGCTCCGTAATAACGTTGATCCCGTTAATAAATGACGCGCCCTGTCCGACGGCCGCGTGGCGATAATATCTCAGGCTAACGATTCTTTTCTCTTCTCGCACGGTGTATTCATTGCGGTTTCATGGCCGCCATCTTCCCACCGCGAC